TGGCTGTAGCTCAGGCGGTAGAGCAGGTCATCTACTGATCGAAAGGTTGGTGGTTCGATTCCTGGCTTCCCCTAGTCTGCATGCCAAATATCCTTGGGCAAGACGCTCTCCAATGCATCGGAGTGTGAATGTTAGCTTAAAAAAAAAAAAGCACTTAGACAAATGTGCTTGGGTGAATGCACAAGTTGTATAAAGCACTTTGAGTGCTCAGAAGATTAGAAAAGCGCTATATAAGCGCCAGTCCATTTACCATTTTTGCTTTTACTCGTGGATATTCCTATTAAATAACCACAGCAAACCTGTGGGATGTGGCAGAGGTCACATTACAAACAGGGTTGGGAGAACAGGAAGTTAATGAGGAGCCACCAGTTCATTTTTCCCTTGGGCCACCCTATCAGGTTAAAAAATATAGATTTGTTCTGCTGCATATTTCTGTGAATAGCAGAAGTTCAATTTGGTTGCCAGATAGATAATTTACTTCTCAGATAAACAGTCTTAAAGGAACAGGGAAGTGTCAGAGGCTTTATTTCACACACTTAAACTAAAACTAACTCAATTTTAATTTGTAGGAACCCAAGGATCAGTGGTCAGTCAGAGCTGACTCTTTAATTAACCTAACTGATGATGATCTTTCCCCACAGAGCTGGAAACAGATGGTGAAGGAGGCAGAAATGCACAGGACATTATTACATTTCTTATTCTTGCAGGACAAAAACGGCCTTCTAGTCTATCCAGGTCTCTCTTTGCTGTCTTGAATTGGCACAAATCTAACATGCCACTTAAACTGTAAATGTCTGCATTTGTGTCTGTGGTGGCAGAGTAGAGAAGCAGCTGTGCTGCATTTTTCACAAACTGAACACAGCGTCCCCACTGAATGAATCAGCAGCAGACTCGTTGACCAGCTGATAACAGTGTCTGAATTTGTACATCCTACAGTCTGAGGAAATCAAGCACAACGTGTCTTGTTCTCTTCTTGCCTCAGCTGCTGAGTACAGTCAATTTCCTTCTATGTCTGCTCATATTGTCTCTCAGCAACTACAGGATGTTTACTCTGGCTTTCAAAACTGACATGTTTTCGAACCTGTTCACAGAAGCACCTCGTAAATAGTAAATTCACCTGAGCTAACCCCTGCATTCAAAACAGAGGGGTTAGCTCAAGGTCAGTGTGCACTGTCTGACTGCAGTAGGCAGCGGTTCACTGACCTTGACAGCAAACCATAAAAGGCCCTTCGATTTTGAAGGAGCTGCAGGATCTCCTTCTCATCATACTTATTCCCAGTATGATTCTTAATTCTTGACAAATCATCCACCCCGGAGGAGCAAGAAAGCCATCAACACGTAAGTGGCTCTTCATATTATCAACCATAAAACCCTGGAAGAGAAAATTGTTCGTGTGGAGGGGAAAACATGTTGTTTCTTGGAGCTCTGCTGTAATTTCTTGTGTGATGTTGTCACCAAGTCAAACACAAACCAGTGTCGGGTACTGTAGAACCTCCCTGAATTATAATGCAACATTCTTTATTTAAAATACTTTTTATGGATGTCTCCTCTCTAACTTTGCCTTTTTTTTTTTCTTCAAGTTCAATTAGGAGCCAATGGAATGAAAGCAAGATGCAGTTTTGTAATAAAAAAAAAATCAGTTTCAAACTGCTTCTGTAAGGCAAACAGAACAAATATGAAGTGATCAGCTATGGCTGTAGATTTACATCCACAAAAGGTGTGTCTCTAGATGTGCTGTTTTTTTTTTTTGTTTTGCATTTTTTGTTTGTTTGTTTTTTTTTTTCTCCAGACATCTCTCTCTTGGCATTTAAGAGGTTTACATTTTATACAGTCATCCTGAAATAGTGGTATATTTAAAAAAAAAAAATCCTACACAAAATAAACCTTTACTTTATTCTTCACTATAGTACAAAGACAATTATGATGCTTTTTAAACTTTTTTTTTATTATTATTATTATTATTATACGGTCCTTACAATACAAAACACCTTAAGGTGACTGCTGTTGTGATTTGGTGCTATATAAATAAAACTGAATTGAATTTACACACTGACACCTCGAGTTATTGTTGGTTTCACCTTAATCAGAGACTTTATTTGCTTCTGTACACATGTCAGAAGGTTTTTGAGCAAGACTCTGAATTCCAAGAACCAAAAACATTACAGATTCTGCGAAATGAATGTTCAGGATAGATAGGAGGGATAAAGAGATGCTTACCCGTGAATTTATCTGTAATAATAACCTTGTCCTAAAATGGATAAAACAGAAACAAGACACAAATTTGTTTGGCTGATGACTTCTGCTCAGGCTCAGCAGTGAGATCGAGCTACAAAATTATGGTGCGATGGCATGTGCTCCTGTTGGAACCACAAATCTTTAAACTTTGTTTGTTGTTTAACAAAAAAGCATTGTTGTGGGCCTGGGTACTGGGACCTGGTTCAGCAGAAGAGGGGCCTGTGAACTGAAGACTCTGCCTCCCATTCGACTTTTAAATATCCTGGGAACTACAAGTAAACCTCTCAATCTGAGAGCAAAGTTGGATGATATGGTACTACGAGGTCCTTAAGACAAGATGGGGTCTGATTATTCAAGACCTTGTCTGTCAAGAGAAGGAATTTCAGTTCAATCTTTTCATTGACTCAACAGGGAATCAATGAAGAGAAGCTAATGTGGGAGAAATATGCTTTCTCTTTTTGTCCCAGTTAACTAAAGATGCTGTCTTTCAAATCAATTTCATCTTATGGTTCTTCTTTTATAATATTTCCACTTGGATATGCCATAAGTCAAACATGTAATGGGATGTAAACCTGAAAATAACTCTGTAGATGTTAAGAGGTAAAGTGATATCTTGAATGCAGAACATTTATGTAAATTGAGTCGATATGCATAGCTACAGAGCAGGATTGCCACTGGATCTGAACACAGTTTACCACCACTGTAGGATTCTATTTAGAGGCTGAAAGTTGTTAGCATCCTCCCCGGTAATCCTCCCTACTGTGCTTACATCTTCAGCAGGGTGATCTCTATCTAGAGCCAAATGACAACCCACTTTGGATGCATTTTTTTCCCACCGGTCTGTGCACTGTAAGCACAGACCGGTGGAAACTCTGTGCTCCCCACTGCAAACAAGCGCACGTCTCTTGCTGTTAGATTTGTAATCAACTTCATTTTCCGACTCAGCTTTTCCTCTAAGCTGCACAAATCACTGTCCTGTACGCTGAATGGAATGAGCTGAATTGTCTAATTACATCTATATCTCATCTAGCTCCCTCCACAGTCACAGCCACATTAAACTTCCTATTTGTGTCCTCATGATTCCCATCAGCTCAGAACAAGGCCACTGTTTTGATCTTCAGAAGTTCACTGCTGATGTAACTACCGCTTCCTCTCCTTTGTCTCGAGCAAATCATCGGCACGCGTTTGATCTCAAGTCTTCTGGCATCTTTGCAAACTCATTGGGATAAATATTGTATAGGAGGCTGCAGCTGCGACCTCAGCTGATTCTCTGCCCTTTTCCAAAAGACTGGGTGGAATTACCCTCGAGTCCAGGTGTTACGACCTGTATGACTAAATACCTCGAGTGTTGCTGTCACTCACTCACTCCTATTGCTCACATGCAAATGGCTTTACAACCATCTCCCTGTCCTTCAGCCAGCCACGGTTGTCATGACAACAGAGCAGCTAATCTCCAGTGGACAGAGAGAGAGAAAGAGAGTGCATGAGCTCGCACAGAAACGTGCTTCTGGGGACGCGGAAAAGGCGTGCGAGTGTGATGAAGAGATGCAGTGCACGCTTGCTTACGTCTGTGTGTGTGTGTGTGTGTGTGTGTGTGTGTGTGTGTGTGTGTGTGTGTGTGTGTGTGTGTGTGTGTGTGAGAGAGAGAGAGAGAGAGAGAGATTGTGTGAGCTTTTTTTAAAAATAATAATGGAGTATGATTGGAAAAAAACACACATGTTCTCCATCCCACTGAGAATTCCTAAATCAACTGTTCCCTTCTTCCTTTTAAAAAAAATTCTCTCCTCCCATTTTCCCTTCTCCTGACCTTCATCATCTGTATCTACTTCCCCATCCTAACTTCTTTCCATTTAAATCTCCTGAATGTGCTCATTTTTAATGTCATTTCGTTGTTTTGTTCCACTCCGTTTCACCATACATTTTCTGGCCTTTTCCCCCTCTTCTACCTCTGACACAACCTCTTCATCCCGTCAACAACAATTCCTTAATCTTCCACACTCATCCTCTCTCTCTTGCATTCATCCCGTCAGCCTTTTCATCCTCTCAAACTGCTTCAGCTAAACCTTCTTTTCTATCTTTGTCTCTCTCTCTCTCTCTGCACACCTCCTTTCATCCATGCTCTCATTTCTACCCCCCTCTGTCTCCGCGCATACATATACAGTGTCCATCCATTTCCTCGTGTTCCTAAATCCTTCCCTCTCTGGCACCATGGTTGCCTAGCAGGGATCTCTCAAACGCACATATGTTAGGGCTGATTAGGCTGGCACAGCCACTGGGCGCTCGGCCCACTGGAGGAGATGATGGAGAGATTCGTGGAGAGTGTGAGGGAGTCATGGAGAGCTGTGTGTGTTGGGGGGGAGGGGGGGTATTGATTGATTGAGCGTCAGGTGTTGGGAATTTTTTCTTTCCAATGAAAAACTACTTGGAAAAACAGTCCATATGTTCCCATACAGTGCACGACCATAGTCCGTGTGCGCGCGCTCGCTCGAGCGTGTGTGCGGATGTGGATCGGGGGGTTTGAAGTTGTTATCCGGTAGAGGGCGGAGTGAAAGCGTAAGAGAACGTGAGGAGAGGGGAAGCAGGAGCTGCAGAGGGCTGGAGCTGCGGAAAGGAACGGAGCGGACATGGGTGGCAGCGGACGCCGGGCATCTGCAGCCTGAATGCTGGGGGCAGGAGGAGCAGGAGGGCCTCCAGTTGACTGAACAGGAAGGTTTACATTAGCAGAGCCGCAGTTAAAGAGAATAGCCTGCTCTCCGTTTAGCGCCCACACACACACACACACACACACACACACACACACACACACACACACACACACACACACACACAGAGAGAGAGTCACTCACACATCTTAAGAACAGCGGGAGATGCATTACGTCATAGCCTCTCATTGCCCTAGATGACCGCGCGCGCAGGACGGGGAGGATGCGGGGCTGCCGGACTAGAACGGTAACAGATTCCGCTGCTGCTGCTGCTGACCGCGAGCCCCCGGCGGGTGTGTGTCGGCCGGTAGAGAAAGAAGAGGAGCCGCCGTCGCGCGGCCGCCGGCTCTGATGGCTCCTCGCGCCCAGGGCGGGAAAGAGTCACAGCAGTCGCCGCGGAGCGAGAGGGTAGGGGACAGCAGGTATCTGGGAAGTGACGTGGTGTCCGCGCCCCACAAGAAAGCAAAACGGTGCGTTTGTCGTGCATCTCGCAGGAGGGCAGGAGCGGGAAGGCGAACATGGCCGCACAGTCCGACGGCGGCAAAGCCGGGGTCGGGTGCGGCGGCGGCGGGGGTTTCGCCCAGCTCTATGATGTTGACGCCGAGGAGCCTCTGGACTCCGCGGCGATCCACATCTGTCAGTGCTGCCGCTCTTCCGCTTGCTACTGGGGCTGCCGCTCAGCTTGCCTCGGCTCTCTGCTCGGCGGGAGTCCGCCTGCCGGAGGGGTCGGCATCCGGGAGACTCACTGCCCGCCCCGGGAGCAGCTGTGGCTGGACTGCCTCTGGATCATCCTTGCCCTCCTTGTCTTCTTCTGGGACGTCGGCACGGACCTGTGCCTGGCGATGGACTACTACCAGAGGCAGGACTACCTCTGGTTCGGCCTCACTCTTTTCTTCGTACTGGTGCCCTCGGTACTGGTCCAGATTCTGAGTTTCCGATGGTTCGTGCAGGACTACACCGGCGGGGGGCTCGGGGAGGTCGAGGGGCTGACCAAGCGGGGCACGGTGGTTCTGGGGTGCCTGTATCCTGGAAGGGACCGCCTGCAGCTGGCCACTATCTGGCTGTGGCAGGCCACCATACACATCCTCCAGCTGGGACAAGTGTGGAGGTAAGAGGGGGAGGGGGGCAACACAAACACACCTGATCCTTCTCTCGCTCTCTCTCTCTAACAGGCTCACAAAAACTTAATGCTCCTAATGAGCAGAGCAGGGTGTCCACTTGATGTGGCTACTAGAAAAGACAGCTCGCTTCACAGTGACAGGCAGGAGAGAAAAGCGAGAGGAAGACATGGAAAGGCTCTCTGCGACTCCCTCTGTGCTTCAGTTGCTGTCTGGGAATGACAGGAAGATATTAAGAGAGACCGTCAGGAGAACAGAGAGCCTGATTTCACACACAAACTCTGATCTGTTGAAACTTTTCATTTCTGACTCATCCTATGAAAAGCTAATTCAGCAACTCGCTGACCGCCCTGCAGTAAGAAAGAGTAGAATTCAGAGCCAGAACAGAACCTGAGTAAAGCATCTGCAGTTGCAGAGTAGCTACAGTTAAGCCTTCTCACAGTGTAAAGAAACAAAGTGAGCCACATCCTTCAGAGTGTGTGTTTTAAGGGCTGACCGAAGCGCTCTCCATGGTGCTGAACAGATTTCCAGCATTTCCAGCTTTTGGTCAAGGCTCTTCCCTTCTGAAATGTCAGCATGCCTTTGCGTGTATCTGTGTGTGCGCTGACACATGTCAGCACGTGTGTGTGAACAGTGGAAAAACGGTGTCAAGGCTCTTCCCATGAGTGTCAGCATGCATGGAGAGTACAAAGAGGAAAAGCATCTGCGCTTTTGGCAGCACATCTCTTACTCTCTCTCTCTCTCCCTCTCTCTATTTATCTCTCTCTCTCACACACACAGACACACACATATATTCCCACAGTTGGACAATGTTAGGTGTTAATTGTGCTAAAAGCACTGTTGGGGGAAAAACTGAAATACACACACTTCTTTTCATTGTGGGCTTCTTGCCTCATATAAGCATGCAGCTTGGTCTACACACACAAACACACACACTGTAGTTATAGAAGTAACACGAGTGCGCTGGTGTTTTTTTTTTCCTTTCCAGCTTCCCAGTCTATGTAAGGACAACGTTTGCTCTCTTCCCTCCCTCCTCTCTCTTCTCTCTGAGAAGACTTCTTAATGGTGTCCACTTGCCCCTGGGTGGGCAGCAGGGAGAGTAGAGTAGTGTGTGTGTGTGTTTACGTCCTACTATGCTGATGTGCTACACAGCTTCTGTGCTTTGGTTGTAGGGTTAAATCAACCCCTCTCACACCCATACACACTTACCAGTATTTGTCCCCCCTTGGCCCTCAGAATGGACTCTCCCACCTGGAGGAAGGGCCGGATGGGAAGGAGCATAGAGAGAGGGTGGGGGAGAAGAGGGCGAGAAAGGGTGGTTATAGCTGGGGAAATTGAGAGATGGAGAGGCCGTGGAGAGGGAGAGATGGGGGGTGAGGACATGCACAAGTGGAGTGAAAAAGAAGGGGGAGGGGAGAAGAAGGAGACGTGAGAGTGGTGGGGGCAGGGTGGGCTGGATGGAAGATCAGCTGTACTTGGTTTGAGACCACCTCCTTCCATGTCAGGCCATTAAGGAGCTTGTCTGCTACACTCAACACTGCAGACCAGAGCTCCTGTTTACAGAAGCCAAACAAATGATACTGATTATTTATCCTTCACTGCTCTTGAGTCAAGGACACACATCCTTCTGGCCTTATTTTAAAACCAAAACATCTCGAAATGGTTCGTTTGGGAGGGCCGGCGTGCTGTAAATCGATGCACATGTGGGCATTTTCTTCCAGGGACGCTGCATTATTTATGGGGCGTGAATTAACCTCCAGCTCTAATAGGCGTACTGTACATAATGTAGACGTGCACGTCTGCATGGAGGACACCCATGCATGGACTGCAGCCATGCACGGGGAAGCTGAAGGATTTTATTTTTACAGCACGTTTACATTTGTGTGCATACTCCTCTCACACACACACACACGCTCAGTGTGGCAGTGAGGCAGTTTAATTGAGATCACTGCCTACATCCCGCCCACATGTGCTGTAGTTTCCCACATCCAGCACGTATAGATCAGCATCTCTTCAAGGCTGTTTATAGAAAGGTTAAATTCAGTGTAATGAAGTAATGAAGGCTAGAAATATTCACAGCCACCAATCAGGTGAAACAGGAATAAGTCAGAGTGTTGGTTTTGATTTAGTTGCCCGATTAGGCGAAAGAACGCAAGGGAAGATGTGACCTATTAGGCTCATTTCCAGCTCCTTATTCTTATTCCTGGACTCTGGTAGAGTTCAAAATAATCCATATCTGTCTGATACGGGACCTTGATGAAGTCCACGAGTTTGACTGCCGTCTGAGACCAGCTCTTTTGGCTCCCTTTAAACCAGCTTTTTCTAATTGGCCGGCTCTCCAGCAGGCGGGAAGCTGCTCGTGTGCCTTAGATGACCATATTAGGGAGATCTGCTATCAGTGACAGCATGCAGATTTTTTTATTTATATTTTTTGCATCTAAAGGAGGTGTGTTAAAAATAAGGCCTGAGGGCCAGAAGTGGCCCAGCACAGGCTCCAACCCGACCCAGTGGACATCTTTGGTGGAGTCTGAAGGAGGGCGTAAATTTTGAATTTATCTATATTTTAATAAAGTTGACATCTTGTTCACCATCCATACTACATCAAAGTAATGAAGTAATAGATTTTTTCATGATCTACTATAGAAATTTAAGTTTTTTTCAGTTTGTCCTCAGTAAAATATAATTAATTAATTAAAAAAGATATTTTCTGTGATTTAACAAAAACATTCTGCTTCAAACGTACAGGACAATCCAGAACTTTTACTGTTATTTTTACACATTTATTTCTTACATTTTAAGCCCAAAGAGTAATTTCTTTATCATGTAGAAAAACTAACATGTACTGTTGAATTTGCACTTCTTCTTTATTACATTGTGATATCGCAGAGATTTAATGTGCAGATAAACTGCTTTACACTTTGATCTTAAGTGAGTCTGGCACACTTAAGATCAAAGCAGGCCGTACATGGCCCACGACGTGAAATGAGTTTGACTTCCCTGATTGAATGTGTGTAGAAAAGCCTGACATATGCGTGTTTGCCCCTCTGAACCCCTACAGGTACATCAGGACGCTGTACCTAGGCGTCATGTCGCGTCGGCAGAAGGAGCACCAGCGGCGCTGGTACTGGGCCATGATGTTCGAGTACGCTGACGTCAACATGTTGCGTTTGCTGGAAACGTTTCTGGAGTCGGCGCCTCAGTTGGTCCTGCAGCTCTGCATCATGATCCAGGAGAACCGAGCTGAGACGCTACAGTGTAGGTGGTTGGATGGATTTACAGACTGCACTGTACCGGCGTAATAGCATGTTTTCGCGTAGCCGGCAAACAGCATGCAAATGAGCAGCTGCTCAAGTGCTAATTATCAATTTGCACCTATTGTGCTTGATTATGTGTAGCTGCAGATGGCTGCTGGATTTCGCAGGTTTTTACTGTTGTTCAGGTTGTCAAAGATAGAAAGCGATGTGCGAGTCAGACTCCATCATCCTCCTCTTCCGTGTTGCATGCATCATCTTGGGCGGCCACCCACTGGTGTTATTCATCGCGCTCACTCTGGAGTTTTGGGACACAGTTTACCTTAATGGAAAGATGTGACGAGTACACAAGGGGGCGGATACACACGGCAGCTGGGACATTAAAAATAACTTTGTATTTGAGACTCGTCATTACCAAATGTCTCGGTCGTGACACGCACTACTTCTTACTTATTGTATGCTCACACCATTACACAAAACAACCTTCCCCCCTCTCCCTCCCTAGTGAGTCATTATAATGTCGTGTTTATACAAAACAGGAGAAGCATGGAAATCATCCACCTCTGTGTCTCCTTGCAGGCATTTCCTCCTTAGCCTCCCTCCTGTCTCTCGCCTGGGTTCTGGCCTCCTACCACAAACTGCTCCGAGACTCTCGTGACGACCAGCGCAGCATGAGTTACCGCGGGGCGCTGCTGCACCTCTTCTGGCGCCTCTTCACCATCTTCTCCCGCGTCCTCTCGCTCGCCCTCTTTGCCTCCCTCTTCCACATCTACTTCGGCATCTTCGTGGTGCTCCACTGGTGCGCCATGGCCTTCTGGGTGGTGCACGGAGGCACTGATTTCTGCATGTCCAAGTGGGAGGAGGTGCTCTTCAACATGGTGGTCGGCATTGTCTACATCTTCTGCTGGTTCAACGTGAAAGAGGGTCGGACGCGATACAGGATGGTGGCGTACTACACCGTGGTGCTGGCCGAGAACAGCATCCTGACCGGGCTGTGGTGAGTTTAGCGCCGTTTGCATTCTTTGATATCCCTGATGCAACAAGCGTAAAATCGTAAAATATGTTTTTTCACATAAATATCACAGAATGTATGCAAGAATATCCAAAAACTATAAAAGGTAGGCGTACCTCTTACTTCACAAGGAGCTACCGTAAAGGCACGCAGGTTCATCCAGCTTCACAAAGCTAAATGGCAATGATCTGTATAATGATCTCTTTCTAATTCTCTTATAAATGTTTTCTTCTCCTTCCTTTGTAATTTTGGAGTTTTTTTTATCTTTTTTATGCTGCCTGTGTTCTCTCAGGCTTTCCTTTCATTCTTTACTTCCTGTTTTATTTTGAAGGTTACTTGTTCTTGTTCTGCTGAGTATTTAATCTGTATTGTATCCTGCTCAGACTTCAAATTTATTCTGAAATGAACAAGTAAACAGACACATTTAAAGTATACCATAAGTGCTTACCAAGGCTTAGCCCATTTACAACACTAGCAAGGTAAGCCTATATCACAATATTCATGTAATAAAAGGCTAGTAAATGCTTTCGTGATGAGTTTACTGCCATACTACTTGCAATATAACTAATGGCCACATGGCCCAGGGCCAGTAAGTAGTACACCGAAAAATTGTTTTGCCAGTTGATGACAGTGTTTCTGGCAGCCAGAGTTATCACAGTCATGGCTTTATTGAAATTCATCCATCTTTTCATGTGCTCTCATCCACCACCAGCATGCTTTACATGTTTGTGCAGTCGTTTTAATATGCTAAAGCAAAAAGCTGCATGTATGCAAACAAACTGCTTGGTTAAATTTGACAGATCGCTTTAAAGTTTGGTGCCCTCCTCCTGTCCCTCTAGCAGTGCCACCTGCAGCATGCAGGGGCTTGTCTAAAAGAAGGGTTACTGAGTGTACGACTCTACATTTATTTTAAAACGATGATTAGAAATTATTTTGCCGATTTAGATTATTAATATTAAGTACAACTCCACTAATAAACCATGTTTTAAAATACACACTGGGCTACCCATCAGTAGATAAAACAATTATAATCAGATTTGGGGGACCAGTGGGAAAGATGGTTTAATGCTATAAACACGTGTAGATGTACACCGATTAATTTAACCCCTGTACTGTCACCTGTCATCCTGTAGGTATGCCTACAGAGATCCAGTGCTGACCGACTCCTATGCCGTCCTGGCACTGTGCAGCGTCTACCTGACATTCGCAGGGGGCGTCCTGGTCATGCTGCTGTACTACGGTTTCCTCCATCCTGCCACTGCCCACCTCCAGCCAAGTCCCGCCTCATCCTGCTGTGCCCAGCTGCTCTGGGGTCTCCCTCTCCCCCCGTCAGCCCCACCCACAGCCCCTCCCACACCAGCCCACATGGCCAAGTCACAGACGGAAGAGGATGTGGCCGAGACGTGTCTTCCCGTCTTCCAGGTGAGGTCTGCGCCCCCCACTTCCAAGCCCGAGGGCCCGCTTATAAAGATCGACATGCCCAGGAAGCGTTACCCAGCATGGGATGCCCACTATGTAGACAGGCGCCTGCGGAGGACTATAAACATCCTGCAGTACATAACGCCAGCCGCTGTGGGCATCCGCTATCGTGATGGACCCCTCCTGTATGAACTGTTGCAGTATGAGTCCTCACTCTGACAAACACACAAATCAGCACACACACACACATATACAGACAAGTACACAAAAGCACATGTGCACCATAAAAAAACATGTATGTATATGTGGATGTTCAGATTTAGAGAAGATTTAGAAACACGTTCATGCACAGAAAGTCACACTTGATATAAGCACATACACACACAGAAGCAATCTGTCACACTTATATGTGTGCGCACACACGCGATCACACTTACATTCCTTGCGGGCACCTGCGACCTGTGAGTCCCATGGCCATGACTCAACAAGCTGCTTCGGCGCGAGTCCGTCTCCTCCTCTCTTAAACCTTTTGTCACTCTATTTAACTTTAATCGTCCCTCACTTGGTCTCATTTCCTTAATTTCACATGTGCGCGCTCCGCTGCAAAGAAAAAAAAAAGTAAAAATATGAAAAATAAGCGTAGTTTTACGATGGAGTCCTTGACCACCGCAAGCCATTTATGTTGCACGCGTTCACAGGTTTAAGAAGAATAAAAGGATGTGACACAATGACGGTCACTTTTAATAAAATGAGTTGTAACATGTCGCTATTAGTCTGGTCAAAAGATAGTGTATATATTTTCTATGTACAGAGAGGATGTTTTTTAATCTGTTGTTATGTTGTTGTTGGACACATCAGTTTCTCGACATCACTGACAAGGTTAACGGGGAGAGTGGCCGAGCATGATGGAAAAGATGGAGACAAAGTGGCAGTAATGGCATCCAAGGCACACTCAAACAACTATTTTTACATTTGCAGCCTCAATTTTAAAGAATCTAAAATTTTAGCTAAAGTCTCTCAGAAGGACAGTTTTAGTTTAGTAGATTTACTTGTCTTGTCAAAGGCAACAAGTAAAATATTAGCACTAGAGAGTTGACTAGCTTAGCTTAGCTTAAAAAAACTGAAAACAGGTAAAAACAGCTAGCCTGGATTTCTTCTCCTAAAGTATCTAGTAGCTAGCATCTTGTCTTATTTAAATTATACAAAAAGATAAATGTAAAAAATAGTTTTTTGTGGGTTCAGAAAGTAGCCAAACCATCTACCATTAAGAATAATTGCACATTTACTTGCTCCTAAGACAGTAAAAGAGTAACTCTTCGAATTTTGGAGTTCATGTGCTTGTGATTCAAAATATGGAAACAAATTCATACTATAAAAATTATAATTCTTATTGATCAGGGCTTTTAAAAGAAATGTGTTAGTTCATACCTGACCTATCAGGGTAATCAGGGGAGTAAGTTTTTCAGCTAATCTGGGTTACTTTGTGTAGCGCAATAGTAGATGCTATGTTATAAATTCATACTTATCTAAATAAAGAAAAGCATGTATATGAATTTGTAGCAAATGTTATTTCTATCAACAAAATAGTTACTTTTCTATGCTCGTTTCTGCCTACACGATGTCAACAACTCAGCAAGTCCTGCCACAAAATCTGACTCGAGATCTTGAAAGCTAAAGGTTTCTACCTGTTTTTGGTTGTTATGCTAACCTAGGCAGTCTGCTTGCAGGAACTCATATTTAATGGAGAGATAAAGAACTAGTACAACTTTCCTCATGTAACTCAAAGGCCAATTGAGCATAGAACAAAGCAAGCCCAACTATATCCTTAAGATAGACTTGAAAAAAGTATGTTGAGGGCAGTTAGCAACATGTTAGCTGTAATGTGGAAAAATGAAAAACAGTTGCTTCTTAAAGCATATTACAAAAGCACTAAAATAATTTCTTCCTGAACATTTGGAAAAGTAAAAATGTAAAAAGTAAAGTCCTAGATGATGTTGGTCATAACCATATTGCTCATCTGGGAGGGAAATAAAGTGTGAAATTTGAATGCCATCTTAGGGGAAGTTCTCCATCATTTCCTTTTATGCTCCAAGCAGTTGTGGGAGGTCTTTTTATATCATAAAAATAAAGGTAGATTCAAGAGTAATTGTTTTTAATTGAGGTCTACTACATTTTTTTTGTGTGATAGCTTAATCATGTTGGTCCCACACTAACAGGGTGCTGCCACTGAAAATGACATAAAACAGTTTTGGACTTCAGTCATCACAACCCTCCCAGTGACTTGTCTTCTCCTGTTTCGTGTCCAATATCAACTCCTCCAAAGCCACCCACAGCTGAGCTGTGGTGTATGGCTCATTATTTATTTCTTTTGGTTTGTTTACCCCTGTAATCCAAGCTGTTACATTGGCAGGCGAAAACACATGAGCTGAGATATTAGTCATCAGCATGTCAACGGGAACGGTGCAACTCCTGAAATCTCACGCTGTGGGGGGGGGGGGGGGGGGGTGTTTCCTCTGATCCCGTTCCATGAGCCCACTTTCTCCTGCTTTCTACAACCGCCTTTGCTATGAGGGCTGGGTATAGAGAGAGTTAAAACTGGGGCACGTCAACAAATTTTGTAATTTTGGTAAAAGTCAAAGTCTTTCTGAGAGCGACTTGCAAATATACGTAATTTATTAATTTATTAGTCCTCAAATTATAATTCTGTGATTGATTTCAACCAGTGACCCAGAAGTATGAGAATCTTTTGAATTATTGGTAAAACCTGCAATTTTAAGGTATCACATTAAAATTTGGTTGTAGAAAAGCTTGTCGGATATGACCAGTGCTCCCTTTCCATGGCCACTGACTCTGAAGATAAGATAAGATAAGATAAGATAACCTTTATTAGTCCCACACGTGGGAAATTTGATACCAAGATACCAAGGCATTCCCAAAAACAGCCAAGAGACAATATCTTTAGTTTGTCCTGGGTCTACCCAAGGTCTCTCCTCAGTAGTCTCACCTAAGAAACTTCCAGGATGCATATTAGTCAGATGCCTGAAACACCTCACTTGGTGTCTTTATATGCTGAGAAGAAACATCTCTACTCTGAGTCCTTACCTTATCTCTAAGGATGAGTCCAGACAGTCTTTTGAGTCTTCTTTCTGGTAGTTGTATCCACCGTTTTATTCCTTCAGTCACTATTCACAGTTTGTGGCCAAATAGTTCCGGATCACTACAAACATTGTACCAATCTCTGGTCAGCCTCCCAATCCATTTTCCCCCATTCATGAGCAAGACCCCAAGACACTTTAACTCCTCTATTTGAGAAAACAGCCTGTCCCCATAGCAAAGTGGGCAATCCACCTTCTTCTGGCTCAGAACCATCGCTTCAGACTTACAGGTGTTAACTATCAACCCCGCTGCTTATTAGCTGTGAACCACTTAGTGTCTGGAAAGCAAAAAAGTCAGCATCGTACTCAAACAACCAAGACGCAATGTCAAGACCCAATATCCTCTGTCCTTGGCTGTTCCTACAAATTTTGTGCATGAAAGTTCAGAGAAAAATGACAAAGTTGGAGCAACAAAAAACCAAAACTTAGCGATAATGATAGTCCTGATCCTTACCTTGGGAAACATTGCCAGCTTTAACCCTAAGGCTTGTTTAAGGGTTAGGGTCACATCTACCATTTAGCGCTTTCACCTGTTTGGTGAAATGCAACCCTAACGGCAACCCTACCACCAAAGTGGTTCACCGATGAACTAGCGGATGTTAAGAACACCATTAATGACTGATAAAGTTAATCAGTAGATAAAACTGTAATAATTACCCCAGTGTGGAATTTTTTTTAATTTAAATAAGGAGACTAAAAGCAGAAATACAGCGTCCCTTTAAGTGTGAACGATAGGTGGGCTCACATTATTTTTCTGTGGTGCTAGCCGACTAACAAAACAGACAAATCAGTCCATTTGCTGCGATCCGGCGAGTAGAAACATTAGTTGCGAACGCGTAACAGAAGCAGCAGCATCAGTGTTCATATGGTGCGACACTCTCGAGCTTCAGAGTCAACTGGCTGCTAATCCCACTTCATATGGTGCAAATACAAAACACACATGTACTTATGGTGCAATAAGGGCAGATTGTCTCTTTGAATTCTATGGTGCAACTTGAGTACTGCCTTCAGTTATCAGCCAAGGCTGTGCCAAAGGCTCCGTCCAAACGGACAACTGCTCTTCCTGTCCTGCAGAAGCTATGCAAGTCTCCAACATGGGGGAGATGTGCTTAGTGTACACACAGACACACACAAACACACACGGTTTTCCTCTGAAGCAGGGAGAGACACACAATGAAAAGCAGTGTAATAACATGGGATGTATCCCTACCTCACCGCTTGAACACACACAAACACACTCACACACCAATGTCCAGTATTCCCTTACCCCTTTATAATTTGGGAACAATATTCATATGGTGCTATTGAGTAAAGCTAGATGGGTTTTTGTATAGTTGTGGTTACAGTGAAGAATTAGCCAAATATGTGTATCAAACATTCAAATCGATGAAACAGTCTAATTCCTTCATGTTGACGGCGTATGTAAAAACAGCAACACTTTCCGTCTCTGTGAAACACATCAAAGCAACAATGCCTTATCTGCTCGACTGAAGTGGAGGTGGTTTCTTTTTTTCTTTCTTTTTTTCTGTGTGTGTGTGGTTTTTTTTAAGATATGAGTCATAGGAGGGTGGTGCTACTTTTCTGGTACACTCTGATCTGGACATGCACTGTACATGAAGAATAGCGTCAACACGCAGAAATCAAAGGAAAACAGCGTCATGTGCCATTTAGAGAGCACAGTCAGGCATCTCCTGCTCGTTTCACAGAAAAACAAATAATCTCGCAGGAGCGATCTGGATTTGAGAGTAAATATAAATGGCCAAGAGTCACAGCTTATATGTTTCTGAACAAAGAGCAGCTGCCCCGCTTGTTTTTTTCCCACAGCATTAACCGCTGATTTAATTTTTTTGATCCAATCCACAGCTCTTTGCACCCAGAGCTCCAGCCAATGAGAAATCAGGTTTATTATAGCCAAATCAGGTTAGAAGCAACCAAATAATACAATTCTCTCTCTTTATATGGAACTACTCATAAGGAGCGTTCAGACTCAGCAATAGCCTCATGATCAAAGTCCAGGTATCATACATCAGTCTCGGTTGTGTCACCCAGCAGTCAAAAATCATCCACACTGGGCCTATGACTGAGCCTGCGCGCTCTGAGTGATAAGTTTCTTCCCTCATCGAGAAAACCAGAGCCTTATTCATGCCCACACTGTAAGAGAATTTAAATCCAGTAGGTGTTATGTCACTGTTGTATGGCTTCACATCCACAGCTATGCAAGGTTACAAGCAAGAAGGTTCTGGCCTTAGATAACCTTTACAGAAATACCACATCACTGTTCTCACGCGTTGCTTGTTTTTATATATATGTTTTAGGCTTTTTTTTCTCTTAGGAGGAAGGAATAAACCATAAAGTCTTGATGTGCAGAATTGCAAATATGTGATGTACCATTTGTTTACAGATTTTAAGCTTTTTGCATTTTTCTTAAATAATTTGGTGATTATTTTTATGGACTTTACATTGTTCTCTATCAGGATTGACTTCTGATGGTTTAAAATTGGTCGGGAGGGGAAAACTGTACCTTGGGAATAACTGGGATGAATGCCACCTCCCGACTGAGGAATGTGTATCTGTGAAAATGAAATGAAAACCAAGGAGTTGTTTTTCCTTTGGATAAAATACATAAATGTTCCACTATCAGGGTCTACAAAGCATATGAGGCCTGTGGTAAGGCTGTGTGTGTGTGTGTGTGTGTGTGTGTGTGTGTGTGTGTGTGTGTGTGTGTGTGTGTGTGTCTGAGCACAAGCTACCATACCGTGTCATGAATGCTTCATATATTCTTTTGCGTGCTTGGTCTAGAGCTGTGAAAGTATGGTTTTATTGAGGCCAGATGTTAAGTTGTTTCTGATCTCAGACCAGTTTTTACCAGATCTGAGTCCGATGACAATTCAAATCCTTTCCTTGAGGAACCGAAGAGGTTTGGTAGTTTTGGCACAGAAAATGAACAAAAAGGATTTCAGTGGTGTGACTCAGGTTTGGATACTATAAGCACAGGGCAGGGTCAAACTAAACCTTAACTTGGAAGTACCTGTTAGACGTACCATGAGCTTTTATTTTGTTAGGGTCATGCTTTTCTACCATGTTCTTCAGCTTGGGGGGAGAAAAAAAGTAGCTCTAGCGACTTCGATGTGCAAAAGTAACTTTTATTTTCTTGTGGGTGGCATTTTGATTGTAAATACCTTTTACTGGTAATCCTTCTCAGTTGGATCTATGTTCCATGGGTTTGCTTAGATGGCTCTTTGAAATGTACCGATAGTAAATGTTCTTTCTAAATATCCAGAATGTAAAACGAGAGAAGAAAAATTCAGCCTGACTGGAAGCTGTGTTTTCATAGGAATCTGTGCCATTGTGTTGTCTTGAGTATAAGCACACTGATATTAGCTCTGTGGGTGGGATGACGTTTTTGGAGGTGATTTGCCAGACAACTGTGCTCCTTTTTTTTACTTTAAAATAAAATAATTATTAAGCAATAATTTATTTCAAAAGAAACCTTCACAAGAAATGTTTATCATAATATATAACAAAATAATTTGTTATACATTATGATTTTAGTCACAGAAAATTCAGAGAGAAGACTTTCATGTTTATGGGGGGAAATTAACAAGACAAAATAATGGTAAATGTAAAAATAGAAAAAGTTAACATTCTGACAACTAATTTTTTTTTTTTTAAACCTTAATCTTGATTTCTGAGTTCAATCTTGCACATTTATCACTTCATCAATTCAGGTTATCTTTGCTTACATATTACTACAAAAATGTCAAATTAAAAAATCCATTGGGTAATTATTTTTGCTTCAGTTTAAAGTTTAACGTACAAGGAAATGGCTAATTAGCTAGCTAGCTAGTTCTGGCCAAAAAGCTAACGCTAACGAAAAAGTTTTTTGCACAATTGGTTTTGTTTGGAATAAATAACATAAAAGATATAAAATAATAAATCGGAAGTATTCATTTATTATAAAAGAAGACTTCTCCCACATCTAATCTCTGTACAAACCTTATCTAGAGAGTTTGTGACTTCTAGTCACATTTATCATTTATCTTTTAGTCGTATATTTAGCATACATATCATTAGACATGAAAGCAGCATCTTTTTATAATTGTCCATATTTTCCAAGTCAGTCATTAGTTTTTACCTTCATTAAAAAAATGTTCAATTTCTCAATTCACCCCAATTCCAAATATCAGCTCGCTAGTTTGGTTCTGACTAAAAAATACAGTGTCTCGTACAAAAACAAAAAAAGCTAACTAGCCATTTCCCTTTTCCTGCAGTCCAGGTGATTGTGATAAAAATGTATATATTGGATAAGGAGGACATTTTAAACTCCACATATAATCAACTAGCTGAGTGCAGTGCAATCACAAAAAAGCCAAAACATGGGCGTGTATTACATTTCATATGCGAGTCGGGCTGTCTGGCTAACATCTCCTAACTTCACTACAGAAATTCAAATCGCTCCCACGTCAGCTCATGAGAGATACCATTCAGGGGGTTTCCCTAATTCACAACAAATACAAATGGGAGGGGAACGAGAAGACCCATCGTGTACCTTCAGTTTGTGTATTGCGTGTCTACGATAGTACCTAAGCATTACGGTTAAGAGTTGAATGATATTTTCGGTGATTCTAGGCAGCCACCATTAGGAAATGTGTTATTTTTGTTACAATACCTCCTGAAAATAAAGTCTATTTATCTGTGAAGAGACAAAGATTTACAATAATACAGATGACTACATAGAAATTATGACAGATTTTAAATGATGTGAAAGAAATATAAATGAAAACATGTACAGTTCGTTTGGTTTTGAACACAGAACAAATGTATATGCGTCAGTATTGAGTTTGATTTTATATGTTTATCATTTTATTACATTGTAATGTGACTGCAATGGAGAGAAAAAAATATAAAGGAATATAAATTAATTTTTCCCAAAGGTGTCTCGGTTGTTTTTCCCCAATGCCAGCTGACATAAGGAGTTTTTGTGTAGTGATTCTGAGGAGGATTAAGAGACGAATCAGGCTTCCCAACATTTTTTATTTTGTCAAAATCTCGTAACTACACAAATATTTTGACATGTTAGACACAATTTGCATAGTACAGATTTCTTTTACACTTCTAAAAACAGTAACTTTAAACATCAAGCCTTGATGCGAGTGCAATACAGAGAGCATACATGTAGCATTTAAACACCTGGATATGACATCTGCATTTTAAAAAAAAAAACAAAAAAACAAAAAAAAACCTGTCATACCAGTGGCCTGAATTTAACTCAGTGCACAACTTGCTCTACTTCCTGAGCCACAGCTGCCCACATATGTGCACATTACATAAAGCCATCAGAAATAACTATATGTGCAATATGCAGAAGAGGGAACATCACATGGCAAACTTTACAAAAGTTAGGGTTTCACATTCTAAATGGTTAAAGTATGCAAGCAGCTCTGCACTGAGTGCAAGTTGTATGTTTTTATTCTGTGATGTGGTTATACTCAATAAATCCCTTGAAAAGTACAGAAAATATTTCACCCATTTTCTTTTTTTTTTAAATTTATTTTTATACACATATATATATATATTCTCCATTTAATAAAGAAACAATGAACAAAACAACTGGGACCTTTGGTTTGCAGTAAATCTTACAAGACAAACAAGATAGAAGTTTTTTTTTATGTTATTAAATATTCATCTAGTGCTCTGGTGAGGAGGAGCAGTGTGTCACTGATGTTCTTTAAAATTTTGGGGGGGAAACAGGAAAGGTTACAAGCAAAAGAGCAACATTTCCACAAAACATGTGTCATATGGATCCATCCCTCATTGGTTCAAGTCATGTTGTTGAATTTGCCAATAATAGGAGTGTTAAATATCAACAGGCTCATGCTGTGACCTTGAGCGGTGACAGTTTCTGATCCTGCTAACAGGCGTGTGCTCCATCTAATTTCCTTGATCAGGACAGCAGACCTGTGGTTGCTCCCTCTGTGAGCATCAGATTAAATAAAACAGCCTTTGAAATTACTGTTCAACTTTCAAACTACTACCTGAATTTGCGTTTGTACTGTTTCTTAAAAAAAAAAAGAAAAAAGTGTGCAGCTAACCTATCTGATGCTAAAAATAACAATTACAGTTTTAATTTTGTAATACAAATCCCCGTGTAAGAAAAAAAAGACATAAGTGCTGATTATTTCTTTGTGCATCTAACAGTCTTTGGTATCACTCATATACAGGAAGCACAGATGGACCCCTGACACACCCTCATGTAAAGTGAACAACTGGCATAGAAAGCTACTGTGAGGAATTACCTGTAATTCAACAAATTAATATTATTGTACCAATTCAGATTTAAAATTCAGGTTTTGGCATACTTGGGCAAAAAAACACAAAAAAAAAAAAAAAAACAAAAAAACAACCACAGAACACCAGATAAAGAAAACTGAAGGTTAATCACAATTAAATCTTTGTCACAGCTGAATTAAATGAGCTAGTGGCTCCCTCTGCTGTTAAAAATGTAACAGCACACAACTTCAAACAACATTACCAAAGAAAAATGGAAAGAAAAGATAAATGAAAGTAGTCAGTAGCTTTTGTCTCTTCTTTGAGAATAATAATAATATCAGACTCATTGTTACCGTCTTCCCACCAAAGACTTCGCCAATATTTCCCCAAAATTTCACAGCTAATCACCACTGGCTTCTTGTCACATGTTCAAGTCCAAGGATTTTTAACAGCAGTAACATTATGAAGACTCAGTAACAACAACAGAATATAGCATTACCCACAGCTGTATTTATACCAGTGCACGGGATCTGCAGACCTGAGGCCTGTATTATTAAGCTAGTTTTCCACACCGGGGATGTCTTTTCATTATCTGGGTTCACTAAACCCGACCTCTGTAATCAGGCTTAGCAGTCACACAAACGTTGTTATCCACGGATTCCCAGTCTAGCTGTGAGCGGATTTTGGAACATAAGACCAATCACCAACGTGGACAGGAAGCAGAGCGGCATATTTTACAATCATAATACCAGACAATTAAAGAGAGGTTAAACATAATACAGGCTAAACTGTTAATGCAGTAGGGAGTGTGTGTAATAAGAAAAGTGCCATGTTTAGTTATGGTATAAAAAGTCCACTCTTGGCCATTTCCTGCATTTCACTACCACTCTGTCTGCCAGCTTTCCTTTCTAGTCTGCACCGTCCCTGGAAAATGTGACTCCTGGATTGAAACCGTTGGCAGCGACCCCGTTCTCACCACCAGCAATGATCTTCCAAGTTCAAATGGTTTGTTGACATCGTCGGAAAGGGACTCTTACAGCATGATCTGAAAGTAGCCAGGCTGGAAGCTGTGTGAACATGCTTGACATTATAATCTTTAAAGGAAAAAAAAAAAGATCTCTGGTAAGGTTCTGAGTCTGTTCGCTGAACTCTGAACTCCCTCATATGTTTCTGTCTTTAACCTTTATGTGCTCCCAAGAGCAAAGCCTGGGGAGCAGCTGAAAGACTAGCATGACATATTTATGTCTCATAACACAATCACGTGATAAACTGCACAATTGTACTCTCTTTGCATAATGATGGGGAAGTAAGTGACAGGCCTACTAAATTATACAGATTGCATTTCCTTCCAGGCTTTAGTTGAAGCAGCTTCTTGCTTGCTTTTAGCCTGGATTACATTTTTACATTCTTGTTTTGGGTTGCATTGTGGTCTGCTCTTGATAAATGTGTGGTTCTAAACCTGTTTGCGACACAGTTGGTTTACTCCAACAAGGGGTCGTCGTCATCATCATCATAGTCGACCTGCAGCCTCCGGAAAGGCCGAGGCCCTGATTGGCGGCGAGTGCTCAGAGACCTGAACAAAACTGAGGAGGAGAAAAAAGAAAACAAATCATAGCTTGTTCATCTAATGGAAAGGCTGAGAAAATGTTGGGGGGGTTCCACAGGGTTCAAATCTGGGTCCCCTTTTTTCCCCCCACATCAACACAATACAACAAGAAGACACGTTATTCTTACTCACCAGTGATTGTAGTGAGTACCAGCAGGACACCCACCACCAGGCCGATAACCAGGGGAAGATCTACGCAGGCCTCAGCGGCCAACAGGCACCGAGCCTGGGTCAGGGTGCCATTGTTGGGCTGCGCAGGCACTGACAGCAGGCGGCACATGAGTGCATAAACATCCACAGTTTCTAAGCTGTTCAGCTGATAACCCTGACGGAAGCCAGGCCCAGTCGCTGCCAGGAAAGGATGCATGCTGGGAAGAGCATTGTCATAGCCATGATCGCCCACTAAAAGTAAACAGGAGTAACAGGAGGATTACCAGGCATTAATATTGTAGGCAGTTAATTCATTGTGCTTTGGCTTTTGTCTTTTAGTCTTAACATGTCAAAAACTCAACATTATTAAAAAAATAAATTAAAATAAAAAAGCACGTACATCTCGGCAACTTGTTCCCCTTCTTCACTATGGTCCAGCCTTCGTCAGCAATCAGTATGATTGGCTGGATGCGCACATTGTTCTGGTAGTGCAGCCTATCAGGAATGGACTTCTTCAAGTATGCCGTCATGTGGGGGTGGCACTTACTTAGCGCATTGAAGACAGCATCAGCTTGATCACCTGGGCAGCAGACACATGGAAAATTGCAACTGGGAGCTCAATGCACAGAATAACAGAGACAAGTTTCATTATGTAATATGAGATGAGCTTAGCACAGTTACTTTGATTTGGGAAGAGCGCCGCCACAGGTGTGAGGTCCACCAGTGTGTAGTTGTCTTCAGGGAGGCACTCGTCCAGCCGTATGAGGCGATCGGCTGAGCACTGGGCCATCCCGTGGTCGCTCGTTATCACCACGTTGATGCGACCCCAGAGGCCGGTCCGATTTAGCTCAGATATCAGCAGGCCGATGTTGTCGTCAACCTAATCGCACACAAGCAGACACAAATGTCTGCATCAAGTTAAAAAAAAAAAAAAAAAAAAAAAAAAAAAAAAAAAAAGACTTGCACCACTGGAACTAGTCTTTCATTTTAGTGGAGAGACAGTATATCAGAATATTGGTCTGGAGCTCCAGGCAAGATGTGGTGAGGATGATCAAGAGAAAGGTCTCGGATCAGTCCAAAACTACATGGGAGGAGCTTGTTAATGATAACACACCAGCCTGCATTTGATTGAAATCTTGTTGTGCCTCTGCTCAGAGAAGCCACATGTACAGCTCCATCTGAAGTTTACCAGTGAACATTTCACTGATTTAGAGAAGGACTGGGAGAAAGCTGTGGTTAGACAAAACCAAAATCAAGCTCTTTGGCATCGACTCAATCCGCCGTGTTTAGAGTAAGAGAAATGTGACCCAATGAATACCAGCCCTACAGTAAAGCGCGGAAATGAAAACATTATGGATTGGGTCTGTTTTTCTGCTGAGAGTGCAGGATGGCTTCACTGCATGTAGGGGCCAATGAATGGGGCCATAAAAAGTGCATGAGTACCTCCTTCCCTCAGCCAGAACACAAAGGATAGGTCATGGATGGGTCTTCCAGCATGACAATGACCCAAAACATTACACCAAGGCCACAAAGGAGTGGCTAAAGAACCACATTAGGGTCATGGAGTGGCCTAGCTGGTCTCCAGACCTCAGTCGTACTGCCACTTATAAACTTAAAACTAAAGCTTTAAGTTTATAAGTGGCAGCCAAGAAACCTAAAAGATTTAGAGAGTTTTTGGAAATAATGTGTGTACTCCTAATGTGTGTCCAAACATGGTGACCAACTACAAGAAACGTCTTACAGCTGTGCTTGCTAACAAGGGTTTCTCCTCCAATAATATCAAATTTTTCTGCTTGGTAGCCAATTATTTCACTCATCAGTTTATAACTTTTATGTATTAGGTTTCAGGATTTTTGGCTGATATTTTGTCTTTCTGCATTAAAATGAAACGACCACAAAAATTACAGACTCTT